AATATTGTGCGTTCAAATATTTTATGTCAGACTCTTTTCGCGCATGTGGGAGGGGTAAGGGGGAGGGGTAAGGGGGAGGGGTAAGGGGGAGGGGTAAGAGGGGGAGGGGGAGATTAAGGTTGTCAGTGGGAGGCTCAATGTTGGCAGTGTATGGTAAGTCTTGTTGACCAGTGTTGACTTATTGATCACAACGTAGAGGTAGTCCTGTTGACCACAGTGTAGAGGTAAGTTTTGTATACCACAGTGTAGGGGTAAGTCTTCTACACCACAGTGCAGAAGACTTACACAAAAGACTTAAGGTAAGTTTTGTATACGACAGTGTAGGGGTAAGTCTTCCTGACCATAGTGTAATGGTAAGTTTTGTATACCACAGCAGTAACCACCTCTCCATACAGGAGCCACATCGAAACAGCTTCGTTACGATGACTTAATCACCACACCAAGCCATATGAACCTGGATAAATTTAAGAATAGATTCAAAGTTGAATCTAGAATAGACCTAGAAAAAGATGATTTCCTCTGGACGCATTAAAATTAGACAGTGACACGCAGAAGTTGGAGATCTACAAGAAACCTGCCTTCGAGAAGAATCTCATTCACTGTTACTCTCACAATATTAAAAATACAGAGGGAGGTAATGTTATAATTTTTTACTCCTAGCTTTTAGACCCTGTAGCCCGCAGTGTCTTGAAGACATCCGCCAATACGTCATGGATTCATTACTAAATCTTAGATGCTCTATATCATTAGTTAGGAAATGTGGAAAGGAAGGAAACCCATCAACAGTACCAAAATATCGCGAGGGACGGTTGATTCCCCCTGACAGGGCAGACAGCAAACCAAATGACCGTCCCTCGCAACAGAGCAAACACAGAGATTGTAAACAAAACGTTCGCTACAATCAATACTTTCGTCACAACCACAACAAAACAAGAACAACGTCACCACGACCTATTCTTTGTACACTTGACCCTGCACACTACACCCTATATACTACACCCTGTACACCACACCCTGTACACTGTACACCACACCCTGTACACACTACACTACACCCTGTACACTATACTTATCACTCTCACAGGGTGAACACAGGTGAAGCACTCGGAGGGTTAGACAGCCATCCGTGTTAACGTCACTCGAGCACCTCATAACGACCAGAGGCAGCACTCCATCAACTTATGAAACACTCGCCCCTCACAGAGGGAACACCATTAGGAGACAATGTATAGAGTCTACACCATCACACACTACAACACAATCAGTAGAGGATTGTGTATAAAGTCAACAACACTATCAAGGAAAATTGTATAATTACTATATACCTCTTTTTGTTAAGTTCATCTTTCTTTAATATAAAATTTAACAAATGATTCTTCCACTGACTTTGACATCATCTCTCGTGAAATGTTATTATTATTATTATTATTATCAACGTTCAAAACATTGCAAGACGATACGTGATCTAACATTATGAGACCTGATATACTCTACTTTAACAATATAATGAGTTTGTGAAATTTATGTTAGGAATTTACACCAAGTCTTCCGTACTCTCCTGAGTGCTTTGTCAAGGTCTGAGTGTGTGATTCGGCCGAGACTTACGTCTCAATGACTAATGAGGCTACTATCCTTGTTGTTTTAGATTCAGCTTCTCAGAACAAAAAGTTCCAAATAGCACGGGCTATGGTGAGCCCGTAATTGGAGGCTCTTTCGAGACATTACCTGTATTAATAGCTGATACTGGAGATCTGGTGATGGATGCGGGGTCATCATGGTGGTTTTCAGCCTCGGAGGGCTGGCTGTACCAGTTATGGAGCTGGTGGGTTTATTTCAACCCACCAGCTGTAGCAGTTTGTTCTGGGCACTTTTTGGAGAAGTGCTCATAACTGAAGCACTTGTAGTACAGCATCTCGTTTCAGAACTTTTCCATGGCGATCTGGTTTTGGGAAGGAGGTGATTCCAAAGCACTTGAAGCCGTTCTTCACTGCTTCCTGAGCCCGGTCTGCTGTTTCGAAGGTCATCTTCATCGAGGGCCGAGTGGCGTCGTTAGACTTGATGAGTAGAGCTGTCGTCGCTTTCAGAGTCATCGACTTTCAGTCGCTTTTCATCGTTCACTTGCCGGCTGCTATCCTGGGTCCAATCCTCTTATCCTTCTTGACCTCCTGACCATGTCACCTCTATCCCAGACTGCCGGTGTCCCTGCGGTAATGTCTAGTATGGAATTTTGGTCCGTCGTCCTTTCTGTAATGCTGCTATACAGGGAACTGGAGTTATTATTAATAGAGGTGATCATCTGGATGCTCTCCCTCGTATCCCTCTCCATACCCCAAGCAACGCGGCTAATTGGATTGCTTTCATTCATTTATTTATTGAGATTCAATTTTAATTCACTCAAAATAATTTTCCCAGTACAGTAAAGCTGTCCTCCGAGGTAACTTGGTGTAAATTTCATACATTAGTTTTTCAAATACACAAGTGTGTTTTTTTCTAATGTTATTATGTCTGTGAGACATAATATAGAAGACTTTACCATTTCTTAATATATTGTTTTCGAATATTTACCATTATTAAACCTATTTAAAATTAATATATAAATTTATTTGTGAACCAATTTAATTCATATATTAAAAAAATTTGAAACGATTTAATACACCAATTTAATATTTTCATATGATTTAATACAACAACTTAATAATAATGAACTGATTGAATAATTAAATTTATCATTTTTAACTGATTAATGCATAAATTTAACATTCCTAACCAATTTAATTCATAAATTCACCATTTATAACCAGTTTAATGCACATATTTCTAATAAATTTATACATAATCTTAACATTTGTGATCGATTTAATACATAAATGTTACATTTATAACCAATTTAATAAATGTATATTGCATTTATAATCGATTTAATACATAAAATTAAAATTTATAACTGATTTAATATACAAATTTAAAATTTATAACAAACTTAATACATAAATTTACAATTTACAGGCGATTTAATATATAAATATAAAATTTATAGGCGATTTAATACATAAATATAAAATTTATAACCGATTTAATACATTTATAACGAATTTAATAGATACGTTTGTAACAGTGTAATACATATATTAAACATTTGTAACCAATTTAATACATTTAACATTCATAGCCCATTTATTACTTATATTTAACATTCGAAGCGGATTTAATACACACACATTCAACATTGTAACTGATGTTTACCGAAACACATTTTTTTTGTAGAATTTGGAACAGAAAGTGTCAGTAACTGGAGAAGCAGAGGAAGTAAACGAGGCAAGACTTGAACTGAAGAGTGATTTGTTCAAGTGTGTGACTCTAATGAAGTCTAACGACCTTTTCAGTCATCGTGTGTTCCTCTCACCTTGCATCCTCTTCTCTGTCTACCCTTTTCGTGTCTCTCAGTCTCTCTTCTCACTACTCTATGTCGTAGAAGTGAGTTCTTAAAACAATCATCTCCATTTTTGCAACACCTTCCTTCTTCACAGAAGTAAGGTGATGGTGTCGACCTGGTGTCGGTGTCGACACAATGCTTGTGTTGACCCGGCGTGAGGCGCCCAAATCGAGCTTCTTATGGCTGTCCTTATTCAAGAAATCTAGGGACTCGACCAGCAACTTTCACTAAGTTTGCTATGCGAGCCGATCCGCTTTTAACAAGGTGAATGGGCCGCCGGACCTCTGACACTCCCATGTTTGGCACAAACCCCACAACAATCAAGGTGCAACGCCTTTTAAAAGCAGCCCCAAGCATCTGGGTTGTAGCCTTAGACAGAGAGACAGACACTGTGTGTTATAACTGTACTATGGGGGAAGTGCCCAGTGGTGCACCAAATAGTCTGCCTTCTCCACTCTTTGGCCTTCTCCTCCCCCTTCTTTCTCACTCCTCTGCTTTTTTTCCTTCTATTTCCGCCATTTTCCTCTTCAATGTCCCCTCACTCCACATCTTCCTATCCTCCTCCTCTCTTTTTCTCCCTTCTCTCACCCGCCCCTTATCTTTTCCCTGTCTCCCTCTCATCTTCCCCCCTTTCCTTTCATCTTACACCTTCCCTACTCACTGTCTTCATCACTGTAACCCGAATGAACTTCATCATTTTCGAGCATAGCATGAAAATGCTAGGTAAACTCTACGGAAATCACATCCGCAATTTCATTTCAGCCCTCCCCCCCCCATGAAAATCGTACTGGTTGGGAAGGGGTTAATAGATGATATTTCTTAAAGGATTTAAGTTTTAAGTTAGGCTTTCCCCGACTAGCCTATGTCAGTCCTGTACCTCAGACCCTTCCCTCATTTTCCTGCAAGTTAGGGTGAGGCTAGCACCAAGGGTCTGGCCTGCAACTTTGGACGGAGACCAAGAAACAGACAGACAGATAGACAGATGTTCTGTCTTATAAGGATAGATTAGATGGGGTACCCGGTGATGCCCGAGTCGACCCGGTCTCTCTCTGTCTTTATACATGTCTTCTGTCTGTCTATACATCTCTCTCTCTCTATGTATGTCTGTCTCCATGGCCTGTGTACCTCTGACCTTCAGCTCTTTATCTGTGAGTGTCTCTGTGTCACTCTGTCTCTCTCTATATCCAATATAATTCACAATAAATATATCTTAACGTTATATAGTACCTGACATAATTCAACATTATATTGTAATTTAAGTTTATCATGCCCGAAACGCTTTGCGTAATAGTGGCTTTAGGCATTGTATGTACTAGCTCTACCTATAAGTCAACAAATCCTTGTACAAATTTATTGTATGTATGTACCTTACCTAAATAAAATTGTATTGTATTGTATTGTATTGTATTGTATTTGAAAACATTTGATATAATATCATATAACCCTGCCCCCCCTCCCTCCATTTCTCCACAATATCATTTAACACGAGTCGCCCCCGACTGAAGACAAGTGAAGGTTTTAATTTTTGTTTTTAACCTGACATTGAAAATGTTACTTGTGCTTGCAGAGTCGAACATGAGCCCAGTGACGGTGGTGTGTCTGCTGCTGGGGTCGCTCAACAGCTGCACCAATCCCTGGATCTACCTCTGTTTCAGCGGCACTCTTCTTAACCAGCTAAGGGTATGTATGCTCGCTATACCTAGAGACCGTGCTCTTGTACTTCCGCGCCTGAATGTGGATATACCTCCCCACCATCTTGCATTGTCGCATGTTCAGACTTGCGCTTAATTTTAACACCAGGGGATGGAGTCAACACGCGTATACTTGCAGTGCAGTGCAGCGTTGAATTAACGTTAGCTCTATCCTAACAAACACACAACGTCACCAGAACGTTGTAAGCAACGTTATTACGCTGCTAGAACGTAAACAAATATTGTAGTAGTTAGGTTGTGTTTTTGTTTAGGGTGGGAGACATGAACGACTCTCAGAATACTCCAACATGTCTGGGAGAGTTGACCACTCAGTCCGTCACTCCACAGTTCCACATTATACTTAGAATATAATAACCAGGAGTGGATAAGACATAGCCAGTTGTGGATAAGATACCATGATTATGGACTTTACTGGTTTTGAACGAATATGTTCCCTAAGTTAGTCTTGTGTGGTGGTGCTGGATCAACTAGTCATAAGATCATAACATACAGAGTCACTGGAATCCGAAAGTCACAATTATATATTTTATAAAACACTCTATAGAAACAATTAAATCATCCTAAATAAAAAAATAAAGAGTCTTTTAAATATTAAATATTGTTTTAAATATTAAATATTATCAATTACATCCAATATTATGTACACATACGTCAGGTATTATTACAAAAATTCCTTCCATTTTATGAACCCTTTCACAGAGTAATACACACACTAAATTGGGGAAGGTTCAAAGGTATGCCACCAGACTAGTACCCGAACTGAGGGGTATATACGAGGAGAGACTATGGTAACTAAACCTCACGTCACTGGGAGACAGAAGAATTAGGAGAGACTTGATCACCACATACAAGATTCTCAGGAATTGATAGGGCAGATAAAGAGTTTATTTGGTACACACGCACAAACGGACACATGTGAAAATTGAGTACGCAAATGAGCCATAGAGACATTAGAAAGACCTTCTTTAGTGTCAGAGTAGTTAACAAATGGAATACATTAGGAAGTGATGTGGTGGAGGCAGATGTCGGAAAATCCGACACCATTTAATAATCATACAGATAATAACTGTATTACCAACAAGTTACCCATAGAAAACGTAACTTGTAGTGGAATTACCGTCTAAGAAAACGGGATATCATCACCACATACTATTATAATTCACCAGCTATTCTGCTGGGAATTATTCTTAAATACATTAGTCTTTGGACTTTACCATCATAAAAACATCTTATATAAATTAACTTAATTATCAATATTAAAGTAGAGTAAATGTAACCCTTCTATCACTTTCTGAAATGTGGACAATGTAAGCCAGGCGTCAGAGGAGGAGGAGGGCAGCCATTGTTGTTATACGAGACCAGAGGCTCACACGGGAGCAAATTCGGCTCCTGTTAAATTTACTTGGACGTAGTGTTATGGAACCCAAAGGTGTACCATTGTCAACACGCTGTCTACAAATACAAGTTAAGTGTCTATCCGAAACCCGTTTATCATTCATTTATGGCCATTAATGTCAGGATATAGGGTTAGCCGGTTAGAACGCGAAATCGCCTCAAACTAAAGGTAATTAAGCCAGGTCTTCATGTTCCATGTACTGTTTTCTCTGATATACTTGTCATATATAGGTATCTGGCTTCACAGCTAGCGCACTTTTGACAGGTCAAGACAAGGATGCAAGATTATGTGCACCAGTTACTGGGTGATAGAAGCTACCTCAAAGAGGATAATTTGGTGTCTACACTCTAGTTATACCTGGTGGACTAACCTGCTGTACTATAAGAGAAGGAACCTCATCAATGTATGTAGCTATTACTGTAATTTGATTGGCTGCATATGTGTAATATAAACCCCCCCTAATGTGTAGAGGATCGATTTGTGAGATTATGAGATTATTGCAGAAATACAGTCCACTTATCATTATACAAATTGCTATCGAAGTATATAAATTAACGTAAATATAAATTCATATAAATTAAATAAATATAAATCTCACAGGTCGGTTTCCACATTAATTGGTCCTTCGAAACCGAATTATTTGGACCTTCGGAACCGGAATATTCGGTCCTATGAACCCACATTTGGTCATCTTAGTACCGGATGAACCAGTTATCCAGTGGATTCATTAAATATACTAGTGCAGTGTTATTTAAACAAAGGCCAGCCAGTCAAAGACGGAAGCGTAGCCTCGAGGGAGCTCAGGAGCCTCCCTCAGTTCAGATCAGCCTTAGTCAGCGGTTTCATGCACACCCACAGAAATTTGGTGGTGTGTTATTTCGTGAAATGACAGCGCTAATAGAATCCAGCCAAATTAGTGACTGTGTCTTCGCGAGATTGTTCACGGATTTCGTGGTGTTACATTTCGCGAGAGATTATCTACGAATTTTGTGGAGTTTATTTCGCGAGGTCACTAATAATATTTAATACTTCTAGATAATATTAGAAGTTTCATAGAGGCTAATTAAGAGGCTATTATCAATAATTGTGTATATTATTTCTCCAAAATAGAGAATCATTTAATATAAATTGCACTAGTGTTCTCAATATAATATTAACTAATTGCCAACCCACAACAGGGTAGGATATTACCATTGACTAGTTGAACTATTATTGTTCATCCTAGTCCCATTATTACTATAGTCAGTTGTACTATATTGAACAACCTAACACCATTAATGAATGGTCCAGACCCTATTTTGGGTGTAATTTTTAACAACTCGAGTTGAGTTGTATATATAATAATTTACTTATGATCATTACACCTTTGAGTGATTAATTAGTGTCTCTACCATCCTAGGGTGATATAGAAGAGCTAACCTAAAGGTACTTCCAGTGACACTGGTTTATCACTCAAATCATTAGTGTGGATGATTGTATATATATATAATGTGTATTAATTTTAAGTGCTAACCTCTAGTAGAGGTAGGATTATTGCCTAGTGAGTTCAGAATTTACCCTAGGCTACCATCAGAGCTTGTTCAGTATTATGAGCAGCCCAAGTACAAGCCCCACAAGGCTTCACCAACGAGCCAGTATGGATAATGCAGGGAGAATGAAAAGAACCCTTGCAGGTCTTAAAGGCCACTTAACAAGACAGATCAAGAAATGTGAAGATTTGTCACAACAATCAACAGTTGATTATGCTGACCTGGAAAGCTATTATCAAGCAGCTGCAGGTAAATTTGAGCAAATCAAATGTCAAATAGCAACATATGTGGCTGAACTTGCCAACACTAATTTATCAGAAACAGAAATAGACGACATTATGGTTGATCTTGCGAATTATGAAGATCACACTCAGGCCACGTTACAGCCTTATGTCAAATTAATTGCCCAGAACAAGGCAACAGCAACAACAACAACAGTTGCATCTAATACGAGTCAAGCGGAAGCTCGACTCCCTCCAATTAATTTACCCACTTTCTCAGGGAAAGATGAGGAAGATTGGGACGAATTTTGGAACAAATTCGTTGACCTTGTAGACTCAAAACAATCTTTACCAAAGAGTAGTAAATTCTCTTATTTGCAAGGCCAATTATCAGGTGAGGCTAAAACAGTAGTATCCCATCTGAGATTAACTAATGACGGCTATGATCTGGCAGTAAAACTCCTCAAGGATAATTATGCTGATCCAGAAGTAAGAACATCACATTTAGTTCATGAGCTGTTGCATTTACCCCCACCGGAGGCTTCAGCTGATTCACTCCAAGTCTTCAAGCTGGAGGTAGAATCATTGATCAATGCCCTCAGCCTGACAGCAGATACAAACGGGGCTGAGTGGGTCTTGAAAATAATTGTCCAGGAGAAAATACCTAGGGACATATTGAGACAAATGAGTGCTCATTACAATAAAAGTATCTTATCCATGAATGAAATATCTGAAGGTTTAAAGTCAGTAGTTCATCAATTACGAACACATGACAAATTAAAACCACCAAGTAAACCCTCAGAAACCAATAATAGTAAACCACAGAGTACCAAAGGTACTCCAAATCAATCTAGACAATATAATTCAACACCAAAGTGGAACAGTGGCAGTGTGGGCGTATATGCAGTTGGACCCTCCAAGCCTATAGTTACTGTGTCACCCAAGAACGTGACACCAAAGGGTACTGGAAGCTATGGAACATGTTTGTTCTGCAATGAGAAACATTCAATGTACCACTGCCCTAATTTTCCTGATAGTGACGCCCGTGTTGAGCGACTCAAAGATTTGCAACATTGCACGAGGTGCCTCAGGAAACATAACATCAACGACTGTGAGACCCAATTACACACCTGTAATAGGTGTAACAAAGGTCAGCACCATGCAGCATTATGCAGAGACACCAAAACAACGTCTCCAAACCCCAAGGTGGAAGATAGCATTCCCACCTCAGTACAGTACTGCAAGGTGCAACCAACAAAGAGTGTCCATTCGGCAAAGTCTAAAGGTAATACGACTTTGCCTACTGCCCAAATTACCATCCTGAATAAGAGGGCCAAGGTCCATACCCGTGGGTTGTTTGACCAAGGATCCCAGAGAACATATATTACTAAAAAGCTGGCAGATGAATTACAATTAAGGCCTGTAGCCCAGATGTCATTCAACATCTCAGGGTTTGTAACAGATGCAGGACCTCAAGTCTACCAGGTGGTACAACCATCAGTACGCTTAGGCAGGTACGTCTGTCGAGTACAAGCCATTGTGGTGGACAAAATACCAGTAGACCTACAAGTTCAAGGTCTGAGAGCAACAGCCAAATTCCTGAGAAATAGAGGAATAAAATTGGCAGATAATATTAAGTCTGATCACCTCACCGACTTCGGTCTCCTTGTAGGGACAGACTATTGTCATCGATTCATCGGTAGCCCTACTAAATATCAGGGTATAACCATGTTAAACTCTGCAGGAGGTAAATTACTCTCAGGCCCAGTATCAAGCCTGAGGAGACCTATGCCTGCAGATAAACAATACCAGTAGAAATCTA